GCCAACCATTGGCTTTCCATGGCTGTTTACGATTGGAATCCAGGTCTCCAGAGTCGAAGTCCAACACTGAAATTACTATCTCACTCTGGCTCTTCAGTACCTGGGTGTTAACATTTTTCTTTCACTTTCTAGCAATCAGAAGTTCATAACATCTAAACAATAAAACAATCGCATAGGAAATTATTTCTTTATCACTCCTGAGCAGAGAGGAGATAATGAAAACCGTCATTATAATTGATACAAATCTAGCATTCTGGAGGAAAAGGTAATCGTATGCCTTTATACTTTACAATCCAGGCAGTGTGCTTTCTGTGAACTCCATAAACTCTTACAGTCTTTGAGGCCAATAAAATGTATAATAGGGTATGTGACACTCTGTACAGAAATCCCAAGCATCTTTTTTTTTTATTTCTTGCCTTTTTTCCCCTTGGAGGTCATCCCAAATATTTCAATAAGATCTCAAACTATTCTCAGTACTAGAACACCAGATGAATAAATGCAACCCAATTGTAATGCAAGTTGAAGACCTTTCGCTGCCTGAGGCAGGAAACTTAAATCTTATCTGGTGCCACCAGTGACAGAATGGAAATAGTTCAGACCTTCAAATGCCACAGATGACAACTCCCATCACTTCTCACCACTGGCCATGTTGGCGAAGATTTTTGCAAAGTGCATTTCAATTACTTTTGCACCAGTGAATAATAGGTTTGCAGCTTGGGTGTGATCCTCGATTCATTGCTGAGCCTTGAACCCCAGGTTTCTGCAGTGACCAGGGGAGCATTTGCACAGTTAAAACTTGTGCGCCAGCTGCAGCCGTACCTTGGGAAGTCTGTCTTGGCCATGGTAGTCCACGCTCTGGTTACATCCCGTATAGACTACTGCAATGCTATCTACATGGGGTTACCTTTGTAGACTGTCCAGAATTGGGGGGTCCAATTCATTTTTTGTAAACCTACCAAAATTAGGAGGGTTGTTTTCAGTTCTTTCGTTTCAGGGCCCGAAAATTGGACCATTATGGGGGGGGGAGGCTTCCTACCCACTGGCTCGCCTTCCCAGCGTGTGTTCTTCTTACCTGGCACCTGCTGTTGCTACTATAGTAAGAAGTGCTCAGCTGGAAAGCATGCCTGCAGCTGAATGCTATTTACTCTACATGTGCTCAGCTGCAGACCCACTCCGGGCTTACCTAAACACCACACCACACACGCCCTGCCACACTCTCTAAGAGTGCATGTTTGGTGGGGCGTGCAGGCAGACCTGAAAAGCATGTGTGCCTGCTAATGCCTGCAGCCAAGCGCCTCTTACTCTAGAGCAAGAGGCGTTCAGATGCAGGCCTGCTCTGGGCCTGCATGCACACTCCACCACACATGCCCCACCGCTCTCCAAGAGTGCATGTGTGGCGGGGCATGCAGGTAGGCCTGAAAAGCATGTGCGCCTGCCAGTGCCTGCAGCCAAGCGCCTTTTACTCTAGAACAAAAAGCACTCAGATGCAGGCCTGCTCCAAGTCTTCCTGCACACCCCACCACACATGCCCCACCAGTCTCCGAGAGTGCATGTGTGGTGGGGCATGCAGGTAGGCCTGAAAAGCGTGTGCACCTGCCAGTGCCTGCAGCCAAGTGCTTCTTTCTCTAGAGCAAGAGGCGTTCAGATGCAGGCCTGCTCCAGGCCTGCCTGCACACTCCACCACACAAGCCCCGCCATTCTCCAAGGGTGCATGTGTGGTGGAGCGTGTAGGCAGGCAGACCCAGAGCGCACCTGCAGTCAAGCTCTGGGCCAGCCTGCCTGCATGCCCTGCCACACACGTACTCTCTTTCCAAGACGAGGAGGCAAGCTAATTGAGGTCTCACCCAATTGCCTATCCCCATATCTGGATCCTGGAAGGGGAGCAGCATCAGAGAGGAAGACAAGAAGCGGAAAGGAGGAGGAAGGGAAGAAGCGCAGTGCATCCCGGAGCTCACCTGCAACCGAGCTCCAGACTTGCTTGCCTGCACGCCGTGCCACACACGCACTCTCTTTCCAAGACAAGTTCAGATGTACATGAAAGCAGGCTGTAGGCAGGCTTTTGTTTGAGCAGATTTTCATGGGGAGAGAGGGCTTCCTTTTTCACGCTTCCAAATAAATGGAAGACACAAAAGAAATGGTAGAATGAATTTTGCACAGATATCTAGTGATTGGAAGACATCTCTACCTAAATGAAATGGTTATTAAACTTTAATAGGAGTTTAGTGGGTTTAAAAATATCTTGCATATTGTTTTGAGTGCTAGAGTTTGACTCTGGAAGCCAGGTTGTGAATCCCTACTCAACCATGGTACCCACCAAATAACATTGACCAAGTCACACTCTCTCAGCCTTAGAAAACAAGACAATGGTTTCCCTCCTATGAACAAATCATAGAATAATAGAATTGGAATACACAACATGGGCCATCCAATCCAACCCCTTGCCATGCAGGAAAAGCACAATCAAAGCACCCCTGATAGATAACCACCCAGCCTCTGTTTAAAAACCTCCAACAAAAGAGCTTCCATTAAACTCCAAGATGCAGAGTTCCACTGTTGAATTATAGTCAGGAAGTTATTCCCAATGTTCAGGTGGAATCTCCTTTTCTGTCATTTGAACCCATTGAGTGTGACATCAAAAAGAACCTAGATCAAATCGCCACAAAGTTGCTGTCACCTTGAAGGCACTAAACAACAGCAAAAATGGGTTAAATGCATGAAGATACCTGGAAAGCTCTACAGAGCCCTGTGGAGGGTAATAACTTTTTTTAAAAAAAGACCAGATTCTCAATCCCTTTCAAATGGAGTGGCTTCTCTCTACATGTCACCTTCAACAATCTAAATGGAGCAAATGTGAATGTGTTACTGATTCCTGTTTTAACCAAAGTGGCTCCAGAGATCAGAGCTCTATTTTATTAAACCGAGATTGTTGCGTGTGAATTGGACCTCTAAGCACTGGACAATTCAGATGGAAAAGAGGAAGCATATGGCCAGGATCTACACTGCTGTATAATCCAGATCATCAAAGCAGATATCCACACATTATCTGCTTTGGATTATATGAGTCTACACTGCTATATAATCCAGTTCAAAGCAGATAATCTGGATTTTATATGGCAGTGTAGAAGGGGCCTGAGACTTAGGAGTCAGGGGTTGAGTCAGAGGAGACTGCAGATGCTGAAGATCCATTAACACAATTCAACAATCACCAAAAAGACAAAGAGAAACTGTGCAACTCTCAATGGTTTCTAAGTAGGAGATGGTGACTGGATTAAGCACCTGGTGTCCGAAGACAGCTGGCTAGAAATCTTCCTGCCAAGCTTTGACAGCTTTGTTGCTTCCAGCACTTCTTTTTGACAGCTAGCCATATTCTTTGGTATTCATGTTTCCTTGACTTTCTATCGGCTATGACCCTGTTTTACTTTTTATTTGTTTTGTTTATTTGAACTGCTGACTGAACTGGTTGATGATCACTTCTTGCCTCTCCCGTTATCCTGCCCAATACCGTAGGGTTGACTTGGACTGAATTAGCTCTTTAACAGCTCTTGTATTGTAACCCCCTGATTTCTGGACCACTCAATTACTAGAGCATAGGATATGCTCTCTTTTTATTTCACAACAAATATACCAATTATTGCATGTTTTCCTGTATTGAGTCTGATTTTACAAAAAGAAAAAACAACAACTTAGTAAGTGTTTTCTTGTGTTGTTAGTTTATTAAATTGTTAGTAATTATGTGCTGGTGAATGATTGATAGTTACTAGTATATTGTTTCTTGTTGGTATACAGTGCTGGATTTCTTGGGTTATTTTTGCATCAGTATGAGCCTGTTGTTACTTCTTCATGTTTTTTAATCAAGTCAAGTGTGGGGGAATATATTTCCCTTGATTACATTTACTTGGAACAATTTATTTTGTATTGTAATGCACAAAAGCCAAGGGCTAAAGCAGTTGCCTTGGAGAAATATTAAAATGAAGGTTATTGTATTTGTGCAAGTGAGACCCACAACAATATTCCCATAGAACCTCTTTCCCTAACAAGAGTCCTTGTTTCTGGTGCCAACTACTTAGCTGGACCTCTTTGTGTTACACTCTGTGCTGCTCATGGACCATAATTAAAGTCTTCTAGTTGTTGTTGTTGTTGTTGTTGTACCTAACTCGACCTTCGTCTAGGTAAGCCCTCAAACAAGCCAAGTTACTTTCTCTCTTTTTGTAGAGATGTTTTGTCTTAGTCAACTTTCCATAGCTTTGATGTGCACCAAACATAATTGATACTTATTCTGCTCTTTCTGACTGTGGGATGGGTGGATATTCTAAATGTATACTCCTATAAACCTCAAGGTTCGCTAAAAGATCTGAAACATCTCTCATTTTAGTAAATGCTCTCATTAAAGGGTTTCATTTCCTATTAGTACTATTCACCTGTTTGCCGTTGAAATGCAAGGGCACTCAATGCGTTTCCTCATAAAAAGTGTGATCTCACCCTTTTGTCTAGGAATTCAGAGCAGTATATACCCTTGCAATACTGCTGTAAATTAGGATTTGCTGTCATGAATCCCCAATAAACTTCATGGCTGAGCAGTAATTTAAAACTAGAATTTCTTTATTCCCAGTCTGATTGCTCTTTTAACTGCAGAAGAGATGACTGACGTGAATTTCATGCATAGCTTCCATAGTTTTGGTGTAAAATTAAATAGGTGGACTCCCAAAACATTATCTGTAGGCTGTTTCTTGTGTGAAGTTCTGTAGTGTCACAATATCCTGATAAAACAGGACATCACCTGAGATTCCGACTTCCACGGGATCTATCCAATTAATTTCATAGCTCACTGAAGATCTGAGTTGAAGAACCTAGCAATCACATTCAGTAGACTGGTCATTATGGTATGGTACTCATCCCCAATATGGTACACATTACCCAATTTGTCATACTCCCCACCCCTATTTGGATGGATCCATCACAATGTTCCAGTCATTTGTTCTAATGCCATGCATCTCTGATAGGTCATCAAGCTCAGCTTTGAAGAATTTGACTTGGAGAGAGGATATGACACACTAACCGTGGGAGATGGAGGTCAGGTTGGAGACCAGAAAACCGTGCTCTATGTGTAAGTAGACTTTTCTACTGATGTTTTTATGTGGGTCTTATTGGTGTAAGAAGGCCTGAGTCACCGCGGGGAGATAAGATTTGGAGAAGGAGTGCATATATTCACATTTGTGTGCTCAACAATTTATGCTGGTGTGTTTAAAGACGCCTGAAGACCAGTTAGTCATTCTATTGGGATAGAGTCATTGGGATTATGGCCCAGAAGCAACATTCTTGGGCAGTCAGCAAACTTAAACCAACACGCTATCTAATGGGGTCATTCTCTTTACAGGATCTGATAGGCATATAAATAATTGAGTGCACCAATGTCATATGTCTATCAGAGATATGAAATTCAAAATATTTTGTTACAATTCACTCTAGAGACTTCTGTGCCAAGAAGTACACATGAATGGAGAATTCTATATCACTTCCACCCTCCTTTCCAGTACATTAGGATCCATGTTTGCTTATTGCAAATGATACAGTGCATTTCTGCTGCTAGAAAATGACTTAGATGAGGAAAGAGGCACAGCGGTGTCCACCTCCACTATTTCTCCCCATTATTTGAAGAAGATAATGGCATTTCCTTGGGGCCGAGGATGATGGTCCTCCAAGTCTGGGGTTTTGGGGGTGGGTTCATAGGTGGCTGTGGAGTCCTATTCTTGATCTGCAAGTTCTCCCACAGTGAGAACATCAGTTTCCAGGTGGAAGGTGGTCCTGGTCAGGGTTGGCTTGACACACCTTCTTCCTCTTGGCACATTTCTCCCTTTCACCCTCCATTCATGGTCACAGCTGACCTCCAGTTAGAGTACTCAAGGTCCACAGCTTCCTAGTTCTCGATATCTATGCCACAGTTTTTAAGGTTGGCTTTAAGCCCATCTTTCAATCTCTTTTCCTGTCCACCAACATTACATTTCCTGTTCTTGAGTTGGGAGTAGAGTAACTGCTTTGGGAGACAGTGATTGGGCATTCAGACAACATGGCCAGTCCAGCGGAGTTGATGGCACAGCAGCATCGCTTCAGTGTTGGAGGTCTTTGCTTCTTCCAGCACGCTGACATTTGTTCGCCTTCCCAAGAGATCTGCAGGATTTTTGAGAGGCAGTGCTAATCAAATTGTTCTCGAAGTTGAGTGTGATGTCTGTAGACAGTCCACGTTTCACAGGCATATAGAAGAGTTGGGAGACATTTCCTTTATAAACAAGCACCTTGGTATCTCTACAGACGTCCCAGTCCTCAACGAGTCTCTGCTTCATTTGGAAAAATGCTGCACTCGCAGAGCTCAGGCGGTGTTGTATTTCAGTATCAATGTTGACTTTTGTGGAGAGGTGGCCACCAAGGTAGCAGAAATAGTCAATATTTTCTAATGTTACAAATCAAGTCTACAGACAGTTAAGTCTAGACAAGTGAGGGAGATATAATATGGTCAATTTAAGTGCATCAAGCACAGAAGCATAAGTGAACTTATACATCCTTTAGTAGACAAGCAACTGAGATATGACCATGAATTGCTGCTGCTTTCTTGTACTAGAGCCAACTGAAGAATTTTTTAGACAGGCAAAATCTTTAGTGAAGTCAGATCCACTCCACCAGAGGAGCCAACTGGACCATTAAGACGATTTCATGGGATCTCAAACTTCAGCAAAATTAGGGAGATACTTCATCCTGGAGCTTACAGACCATTATGGTATTAGGATAGATCCAAATACAGTCTGGAGTCACATGTAGAAAAGCAGTCCAAATACAGAGTCAAGAACAGAGACAAGACCTTGGATATAGGAACAGGGACTGTTTCATCCCAAAGGATACTGAAAGGAGGAAGTCAGCAGTAGGGAAGGGTCACATGAAGGAGAGGGGCAACTTACCCTTGTTTGTCTATTGAATTGATATTCTGCCTTTCTCCTGAGATAGGATTCAAGATGGCTTAAAATAATTTTGAAAAGATTAAGATAAAACATTCATAAAAGCATTAAATAACATTTTTTTAAAAACCGTTTAAGTTACAGCACGTTGTTTCACACAAGCACTTCTCCTTCATAATTAAAACTTCAATAAAAGCATCCTCACCTGCCAAAAGAAAGCAAGTAAGAACCATCACAATTGGGTTTACCAATGTGCTTGGACAGTTCTAACAGCTCAACAAAGCTGTATTCAGAACAATGGGTGTCCAAATGAAAACGTGGGATAAAAATCCAATAAATTGAGGCATAGCTTTCTTTTCTTCAACCTACACTGAATTTCTCTTATCCCTTCACTGGATAATTCAAAATGATTGTCAGTGAGCCAAAATGACCCTGAGATGTTCTTTGGCCAAATCAAAGCTTCATCTGACCTTGAGACTACAAATGCATCTAGTAAGCAATCATTCAAACTACATTACATTAACTGCCCAGGAAAAACAAGTACATTAGATTGTGCCAAGACTGAATTATGGGGGAAGGTAATGCCATTACCAATTCCCCTCTCAGCCCAAGGTAGTCACCGTCGTTGGTCCTTTCTGGAAGAGGAATGGACAGAGAGATGAATTATGCATTGAGAGATGCATGTAATTGAAACGTTCTGTGTCTCTGGGGAGCAGGGACCCAGGAACTGTTTTCATGATGGGGTGAGGCCAACAACAGGTAGGTTGTTATTAATGTTGCCTGTTTGAAGGTACTTTCAGGGAGAAGGAAGATTGCTTTCCTCCCCAATATCATTGAAACATCCTTAAACATGGAGATACTTACATACATACTTGGCCAGGGTGGTCCACGCCTTGGTTACATCCAAACTCGACTATTGCAATGCGCTCTATGTGGGGCTGCCCTTGAAGATGGCCCGGAAGTTTGAACTGGTACAACGAGCGGCAGCCAGGATCCTTACTGGAGCAAACTAGAGGGAGCATACAACACCCCTATTAAAACAGCTTCATTGGCTGCCGATAAGTTGCCGAGCCAAATTCAAGGTGCAGGTCATGACCTATAAAGCCCTATCTCTGCGATCACATCTCCTTCTATGAACCGGCATGAGCTCTAAGATCTTCCGGGGAGGCCCTCCTCACAGTCCCACTACCGTCTCAAGCGCGGTTGGTGGGGATGAGAGAGAGGGCCTTCTCAGTAGTGGCCCCCCACATCTGGAACACCCTTCCAAGGGAAATAAGACAGGCCCCATCCCTCCCCTCCTTTTGTAAGAGCTTGAAGACCTGGTGTTTTCAACAAGCCTTTGAAAATGACCAGTTCTAACTCAGCCCTACACATTATTGAATATGGCCTTATTCTTCCTACCAATTACCCAGATCATTTCCTCTAATCGGTCCTGGAATGAACAGCCACAGACCTGTACCTAATATTATTGTTGCCTGCCATAGCATTGCACTTAGTTCCCAGGCCCCCTAGAATTGTTGGGCTTGCACAAATCTTGGCCCGGCCTTTTTAAATTTTTAAATTGCCTTTAACAGGCAGGATTCTTTTAATCTATGTGTGTTATGGTGACAATTTTTATGCTTATATTTTGTTTTGTTAATCTTATGGTTTTGTTGTTTTTACTTTGTATGTTTTGTGATGTTACCTGGGAACCGCTCAGAGTCCCCTCGGGGAGATGGAGCGGTATATAAATAAAGTTTTATTATTATATTATTATTATAGAAATATCCTCCATGTGCTCTGTGTACCTTACTCCCAGGAAAAAGCAAATAGGATAGACTGCAGGCATACTTTCTTTTTCTAGGGACTGAAGAAAAGGAAATAAAAAGTGAAAGAAGGAAGAAAACAAGGTGGGAAGAAAGGAGACAAAGGAAGAAGTAGAGAAAGGGGGAGAAAAGGAAGAAAAGAGAGAAGGGATGAAACCAAAGAGCAAAAGAAGGAATGAAAAAAAGAGGTAGAGAAGGACGAAAGGAGAGAAAGGGGAAGGAAAAGGGGGGAAGGAATAGGTAGGTACCTCTCTTTCATAATAGTCCAGATATCTACCTCTACTTTGAAAAATCTTACTATAGGCCACAGCAATGCATGGCAGGGCACAGCTAGTGTTCTAAATAAATTAATAAATAAATAGTTTGAGCAAACGAACAGTTTAAGGCAATGCAATGCTCTTCGTATTTTGTGGATTCTTCCAGAAAAAAGTAAAATTCTTACTTATTCTTACGCCCCATCTCCATCTCCCCGAAGGAACTTGGGGTGGCTTACATGGGGCCAAGCCCAATCAACAAAGTTAGAACATAGCATATTTAAAATACATAACATAAGTATGGTATTCCCCCCCCCCCCCCCCGCCAACACACACCCATGCTGCCTCTTGGCCATTCCTAATTTTTGGTCTGAATTTCAGGCCACCTTTTCTTTTAATCTTTTTTTCTTAAAAACAAACAAACAAACAAATAGCCATTCTATACAAATACACACATAAATCTGGGTGGAAGTGAGCCAGGAGACAAAACAAAACCACCAACCCTACAGATACAAACGTGTTGAAAATCAATAAAACTGTCATGACGCTATCATAAAACAATCACTAAAGAGTATCAAAATAATATATTGAGCAGTTCACGCAAGCAACATATATAATCATAATCACTCCAAATGGCATCATCACCAGCCTTTCAGAGATGATTTCCCCATAAACATGATGAAGGACAGGCATTTTCTTTGGCCCTCTGAACTATATTGTGAAGTAGCCAGACAGGTTTCCTTGAGGAATGTGTCTGGTGGCTTTTTAGGGAATCAAGCTTGAAGTAGATTGAAATATAGGTTACAGTTGCCTAGAGTTTACATCAGGATCTAATATTAGGTTATGAAAGACTTTAAGGTAAATGAGAATGGGGAAAGTTCACCTTTTAGACTACTTGTGATATCCAGCCCTGACTTTTGAGGTCCCCAATACCTGTCTGGAGACCTCTCCAAGTCTCATAGGCCCTCTCAAATTCCAAATTTTTGAGACTCTTTTTTTTTTTACCTGGAATAACCCCCCAAATGCCCCAATCCACTTCTGAACATAATGTTTTTGCTTATCAGCACTCCAGAAGACACCCCCAAAGTGCTGGAAATCTTCTCCCAATAGCTGAAACCAGGTGAAAAATAGTGAACTTTTCTGGATTTCTGTGTTGGGTTTTGATGACTTAATAATAATAATAATAATAATAATAATAATAATAATAATGTTTTATTTATCTCCCCAGTTTTGAACAGTTAAATACATGGAAAGAGGGGGAATATTTAGGAAGAAGATAGAAAAGTAGGAAATACAATCAATGACTCAACAAGACAGCTACCTAAAAAAAGAAAAAAGAGAGAAAAAAAGAAAAAGAAAAAAATACAAAAATACAAAAATACAAAAAACCCAAGATAATAATAATAAAATAAAATGACTTCCATTCCAATCTCAGGATCTTCTTATCCTTTATTTCATTGTTTATTTACCTCTTCTTTGTTTCTCTCTCTTTTTTTCCCGTTTCATAGTCATAAAAGAGAGCCCAAGATTTGTGCAAGCCCAAAAATTCGAGGCGGCCCGGGAATTAAGTGCAGTGCTATGGCAGGCAACAATAATATTAAGTACGGGTCTGTGGCTGTTCATTCCGGGGCCGATTAGAGGAAATGATCTGGGTAATTGGTAGGAAGAATAAGGCCGTATTCGACAATGTGTAGGGCTGAGTTAGAACTGGTCATTTTCAAAGGCTTGTTGAAACCACCAGGTCTTCAAGCTCTTACGAAAGGAAGGAGAAGGATGGAGCCTGTCTTATTTCCCTTGGAAGGGCGTTCCAGAGGCGGGGGGGGCACCACTGAGAAGGCCCTCTCTCTCACCCCCCCCCCCCCCCCCCCCCCCCAACCGTGCTTGAGACGGTAGTGGGACCAAGAGAAGGGCCTCCCCAGAAGATCTTAGAGCTTGTGCCGGTTCATAAAAGGAGGTGCGATCGCGGAGACTTGCGAATCCAATGATGCAGAATCAGCCATATAATATCATTCCAGGGTCTTTGTCCCTGTGTGACCTGCAGAGGTACACACACACCACACACAAGTCCTCAAATTCGAGGAGTTCTGACTTACGATTGTGCTAACTCACTGCACCTGAATTAGTCAGTTTGCAAACGTTAAAGCATAATAACTCTCTAGAGTGAATGACTTGACAAGGATCATAAATTTGTCACCCTAAATACATGTTTAGTCCAAATTATACAGAGATGTATAATACAGAGGCAATCATAGTGTCAGATGATTGATAGATAGATAATAGATAGATGATAGACAGACACAAATGCACCCAGAGAGAAGTTGACCATAGAATCGTACTGGAGGACCTAGAGAGCCACAGATATGGAGGGCTGTATGAACAGATGTTTGTTAGGGGGGTGAGTACTCCTACTACTAGTTTGTCTTCTTTCTTCGCAGTTTAACAGGTACAACAGTCCCTGATCTGATTGTCAGCACCCAGCATCAGATGTGGCTTCTGTTCCAGACAGACAGTGTGAGGAACTTATTGGGATTCAAAGCAAACTATGAAGGTAATACACATTTGTGGAGCTAATTTCCTCTTTTCCTGATGATGTAATATCAATGAGAAACTAATGGTTTTGAACCTCATGTAGTACAATGGAATTAGATGGCAATTCTTATTATCTATATAAATAAAAATGTAATGTTCGTTTGTGGGATTAACAGAACTCAGAAACCACTGGACGAATTGACACCAAATTTGGACACAAGACACCTAACAGCCCAATGTATGTCCTTCACTCAAAAAATTGATTTTGTCATTTGGGAGTTGTAGTTGCTGGGATTTATAGTTCACCTACAATCAAAGAGCATTCTGAACGCCACCAACGATGGAATTGGACCAAACTTGGCACACAATTCTCTCATGACCAACAGAAAATGGAAGGGTTTGGTGGGCAGTGTCCTTTGGTTTTGGAGTTGTAGTTCACCTACAACCAGAGAGCACTGTGGACTCAAACAAGGATGGATCTGGACCAAACTCTACACAAATACTCACTATGCCCAAATGTGAACACTGGTGGAGTTTTGGGGAAATAGAATCTTGACATTTGGGAGTTGTAGTGAATACTGGGATCTTGCTGTACCTCAAGGTAGGCACCTTCAGCATGATGCATTCATTCTGAGAGTCTAACATTTTAGAAAATAGGAGAGGGAGAGAAAACGGCTTCATGTTTTATTATGCTGAAATGTTCCTTTGCACAATGAGACATTAGTCAAGACAGAAGACAATGCAGTGGAATAATTATGAATTGAGAAAAAAAAACCTGACAGGGTTTCTCCCTTACTGACAGCTATGCTATAGAATTTGCCCTTTTGTGGGGAATATTTCTTAGAATGGCAAAGTTGCGGTTCAAAACAAAAGCACATTTCCACCTTCATCCTTTGGTTAAGGGAATAGTGAGCTGGCGGCTGACAACTATCCTGCCAGCTTTCAGCCAGCACTGCTGCTTGAGATCCTTTAATTGGGGGTGTCAAGGAATTGATCTTAGGACCTTCTGCATGGAAGACTTGTACTTTAGCAGTTTGAGAATGTGAATCTTCTCGTAATGTATTGTCGAAGGCTTTCACGGCTGGAATCACTGGAGTGTTGTGTGGTTTCCAGGCTGCGTGGCTGTATTCTATCAGCATTTTCTTCTAATGTTTCACCTGCATCTGTGGCTGGCATCTTCAGAGGATCCTCTCTTAGTTTGAGCTTTCCTTCTTGGGCTGCTTCCTTGTCCTCACCATCATAATCATCAGGTCTCTTCTGCTGATGCCACTCTACTCAGGATTGGAGCTTTTGACTGAATCTAGTCTTCTGACATAGTCACGCTCAGCCACTGTGGCACACTCCAATCCTCTCACCATGATAAGATACATATCTGGGAGAGGGTTGAGTTTACAGTACCGGAACAGGAATGTTCATAAGAGGATCTGTTTTTAGGATGACGACTTAAATCGGCAAACTGTTTTTAAATGTATTTTTATATCTTTTTTATTATAATATGTGTATTTATGCTTTTACTCTGTTGTTGGCACTGTGTTGTGCCGGTTGGTAGCTGCCTTGAGTCCCTCTGTGGAGGTTGAGATAGGATGGGATACAAATGCCTTAAATAAATAAAAATAAATAAATAAAAGATCTCCTCGGCATCAAGAACTAGCCCATTGCCTACAGTTGTTCCTTCCTTTCATGGAAAGTTGTCAGCTTAGGGACCAGATCAAGGCCAGAGATCGCCACTTTTGGTACAATAATAATAATAATAATAATAATAATAATAATAATAATAAACCTTTATTTGTACCCCGCTACCATCTCTCGGAGGACTCGGTGCGGCTTACAAGAGGCCAAGCCTGAATACATCAGTAAAAACACAACAACAACAATACAACAAAATGAACTCAAAACAAAGCAATAAACATTAACAAAACACCACAACGCATTAAAATCCATGGCAGGGCCAAATGTATCGTTAAAATTAAAAATATGCTGGGCATGACCAGGTGAAAAGGGTAGGTATTTGGAGGGGGATGGGGCATGCAGATATCCTGGGTCTCTAGTAAAGTGCATTTGGGGACCTATTGCTTGGAGTTTCCTTATTCTGGGAAGGCACACTGGAACAACCACGTTTTCAAGCTACTCCTAAAAATTGCCAACGTTGGGGCATGCCTGATGGCCTTAGGGAGAGAGTTCCAGAGTCAAGGGGCCACCATCAAGAAGTCCCTGTCCCTCGTCTCCACCAATCACTTGCGATGGAGGTGGGATCGTGAGCAAGGCCTCTCCAGATGATCAAAGAGATCGTGTGGGTTCGTAAACAGAGATGCAGTCACACAGGTAGGCCGGTCCCAAACCGTTCAGGGCTTTATAGGTAAGCACCTGCACCTTGAATTGGGACCAGAAAAGGAACGGCAGCCAGTGGAGCTCCTTAAACAGGAGGGTTGACCTCTCCCTGTAAGGAGCACCGTTAACAACCTGGCTGCCGCCCATTGGACCAACTGAAATTTCCAGGCCGTTTTCAAGGGCATCCCCACGTAGAGTGCATTACAGTAATCCAATTGATTTACACCACCATGGGCACCTTGGAAGCAAAGAGGGATAGAATGCCAACCCTTGGCCTTTTATCACTCACCCTGCCATTTCTCCCCATCTTGCATTGGGTACTTTGGCCTCAGGATGACTCCTTGTATGTGGACCTCTGGCTGTGTCATAGTGGTGGTTTTTCTATGACCGGGAAGACAGGCGGACAAATGTCAGTGTGCTGGAAGAAGCAAAGACCACCATCATTGAAGCGATGCTCCTGTACCATCAACTGAGCTGGACTGACCACGTTGTCTGAATGCCTGATCACCACCTCCAAAGCAGTTACTATACAGCTAACTCAATAGGAAACGTAATGTTGGTGGACAGGAAAAGAGATTTAAAGATGGGCTTAAAGCCAATCTTAAAAACTGTGGCAGAGACACCGAGAACTGGGAAGCCATGGTCCTTGAGTGCTCTAAGTGGAAGTCAGCTGTGACCATGAATGGAAGGTGAAAGGGAGAAACATGCCAAAAGGAAGAAGGTGTGTCAAGCCAACCCTGACTGGGACCACCTTCCACCTGGAAACTGATGTTCTCACTGCAGGAGAACATGCAGATCAAGAATAGGGCTCCACAGCCACCTATGGACCCACCGCCAAGACACTGAACTTGGGAGCCCTGGCCCTTGAGCACTCTAACTAGAGGTCAGCTGTGACCAACAGTGCTGCGTTATTCAAAGAAACATGAATGGAGGATGAAAGGGAGAAACACGCCAAGAGGAAGGCGTATCAAGCCAACCCTGACCGGGACCGCCTTCCACCTGGAAACCGATGTCCTCACTGCGAGAGAACATGCGGATCAAGAATAGAGATCCGCAGCCACCTACGGACACTGAACTTGGAGGACCATCATCCTCGGGGTACGAGGGATCACCTAAGTAAGTAAATTCTATGACAGCCTGCACCAAATGTACTGTAAACAACCAGAGACAGCGGTAAAACAAATGAAAGCTTTTTAAGACACATGGCATTCATATATGAATCCTTGAACTTTCAATTAGCCACAGCTCCCTAAGCTCCTATTCATCTGACTCTCCTTTCTCTGTCAGATCCAATCAAAACCAAATCCTATATGCCTTCTCACAGAGACAGTCCTCTGTTTTATTATATTTGCTTAATTGCATTCCTACTCCCCATTCAGAGCATTCCCTGAGCTGTGGTTGGCTTCCATCAGCCAAACTTGCCCTGTTCCTGCCTTCACATCCCTGTGTAGTTTTGCAAAGAAGGAGCAAAATATCTACTAGGGCTGGGCAACCACGGAAAAATTTGTTTCTAAACTCGATTCGTTTTTAGGGGGTTTTTGCGTTTCGATTTTTAAATTAATTCCGAAATTTTCCTTAAAAAAAATTTGATATTTACGAAATTTCGTAAATTACGAATCAATTACGAATCGATTTCGGAACAATTACGAATCGATTCGTTAATGGCGGGCGCGATCGCGCAATACGCTAAAAAAACCTCCAAATGGGACAGGAAGCTTCCCTCTCCTTCTGTTGTTGACTGTTGGTGTGATAATTTATTTTTTTTTCACTGAGAAAACAAACAATGACTATAAAACTTGCACCAGACATGCGGAAATAATAACGAAACGATTTCGAATCAATTACGAATCGATTTCGAAACAATTACGAAACAATTATGAAACGAATTGAAAAAAATCATTTCGTTTTTTAGTTGCTCCTGAATGGTTCAATATCGCTTCGTTATCAAAAAAAATAACGAATTAATAACGAATTACGAAATTAACGAACGAAATCACCCAGCCCTAATATCTACATGTTCCCCTTCCCCATTTTCATTCTGGCTCAATGAGCAAAACACCCAAAGCTTCCTCATAGCATCACCATGGGCCTTCTTCCAGGACTTCTGCTCCCTTGAGAATTAGTTTCCCACTAATTGAACCAGTTGTAGGGAAAAGGGGGGGGTAGCAGAGTATGGGAAATCATGTTGATCTATTCTGTGTTGAAAGCACTTTGAGCAGGAGCGTAAAACAAGCCATTTTTTTTTCAAAAAAGGGAAGGCAGCAATTAGAGAGCTGCCAGTTCGATGATGAAATTCTATGCAACAGATTCGCACATTTCAGAGGCAGTTTTATGGCCAACTTGTCGAAAGGAAATCACAGCTAATGGAACCCGTGTAAAAGTAAGGTGGGAGGGGGAATTAAAATCCCTGGGAAAAAATTGGGGGGAGATTTAGCTTACCCAGTATGCTTAAAGAGCTATCTATCCTCGAGATGCTCACTGTCTCAAAGCATAATGGAATGCTAGACTGCCAGGGTGGAAAATGGAATTGCTAGTCGTATTTCTGATAATAAGATAGGACAGAAGAAAACAGATGCTGGGGAGAGAGGGGGAGGATGGAATTATGATGCCTCGTCGGCCTCCGGAGAATAGAACGGAGGTTTTAGATTTAAATCTCCTCCATTGCCAAAAGAAAGAGTGGTGCAACTTGGA